TGTATAATGTCACAATTTTCGAACTCATACGCGCTTGCAAGCCGCCCGCAGCTGCTACTTCCGTTTTAAAACGAAATTGTTAAAAGCGATACAACGACAATAAATATAAATGTTCCAAAGCTCGCTTAGTTTTTGTTTGTGTTCATTTTTAGCTTCTCGTATTTTGTGGTTATATTTATGACATTTGAGGCGAGAAATCACGGATGTTTTCTTGCGCGCAACTGAACCTCTCACGGGCAAAGACATTTGTAGAGTGATAACATAAATCTAACTTTTCGTCCAAATCTGCTTTGCATCCTCGTCAATAGACTCTTTTCAATGTTTCATCGAGCAACATTGGTGGTCGCCATTTATTCGGCACGAGGCTCGTGATTGGATAGAAGTCCTCGCTGAACACTGATGCAGCCCTCGTGTACAGCACACGCTCAGAGTACGTGATGAAAGAATTGAGAAATCCAATACTTGTCGCAGCAGACACAATATGGGAAGTGTGATCTTTAAAAGGGTCCATGTAATAATTAGTGTGGCAGGAAAGTGGTTCTACGAGAAGATCTACCTGACCATGCGCTCTAGGGCTGGCTTGTATAAAATACCAATGCAACGTCACGAAAAACATTAGAGAAACTCGTTATACGGCCACCAGACTTAGCACAACTTCCGAGCTCAGAAAGGCTCGTAACCAAACACTTCTTGCACTTGGAAAAGAAAATTATGTGGTTCTGAATGTTGACCGCAGATTTCTAGGAATACAAGTGAACATTTTATTTAGTTTTTGTGTAATGGGGCCGTTTTAAAACAAGATCACTTGGAATTTTGATCATATAATGCACAAGAGTTATATCATAGTTAGGTAGGTGAATTTTAAAATCAATTAAACGCCTGTCATATGTACTCTACAGTCCTTCTCACGATTTTTAAGCTTTCAATCAATTCATTTCTTTAGCTGTTTCCTTTTCACCGGCAGGCGGAAGGGACTACAAAGCGTGATGACCGACGAGATGTCTGCGCACTTCGGAGTGTGAGCAAGAGGAATTTTACATAATTCATAGCTAAAATAAAATGAAATTTACACACCATAACCAAAGATGTTAAATATGTAAACCAGCTTAAATATAAAAAAAAAGAAAATGACATTTGTGTTAATGATAGATTGACCTAGTCAAATATTCAACAAATACATGCAGGGTTTTCATGTCGTCATTTGTGTCGATCGCGCACTCACTAAGACACCTTGCCGAGATTGTGACGACATGATTGACATTGCTCTTCCAAACATTATGGGGGGCAGGACTTGCGGCGCTCTCTTTGGGTGCAATTTTCAAATTGGGCAATATAAAACTTGAATGTTGATCGATGAATGTCATTCAATATATACAACTGAGAGATAACCCATGAAACCACCAATTAAATTAGAAGTATTAATTAACCATTTTAGTTAATTATGTAACTTATCCTGACAATTATATTCCCCTATATTGTCCTCTGAGCCTGATAAATACATAGTGAAATCGGCACTCGTGTAACTCTGACTCTCTTTGTTTAATTTACTCGAATTAAAAGCAAGTACCCTCTATTGAAAACCCCTAAAACACGTGGAACCATGCTTATAAAGAATAAGTATAGCTTGTGCGAAAAGGAGATCAGAAAGCAACATCAATGCCCACCAGCAGCGCCTTGTTTTTGTTTTTTTTTACATTTGATTAAAGCGCAGTTGTAATCGGTTTGACCGTCAATATGTCAACGCATTTTGAGACGAAAATATTTTTGTCTGCTTACCATAATTTGTGTGTATTCTAGGAGACCGTCTGATTGCCCGTTTGAATAGTATATTTATTTATATTATCTCAATGAATCAAAAACTGCTTTTTGCTGTGTTTGAGTAACACAAAATAATAGATTGTATTAGCCTTTAGTAGGTCGTATTTGCTGACATTTTGTCGGTGGGAAGGTCTTGGTGGCCTATTGTGATGACAATGCGTTCGCATTACTTTGCAGATGTGAAACAGTGTACTTAGTTTTCTTAACGTTCAATTGTAATTGCCCATGTGAAGCCGAATCACCAGATGGTCTAGATGTATCTATTTGTCATACATTCGAGGAGACTTTGGAAGTTAAAGAAAGATTTACGTTGGTATGATCCGCGTACCTGAGAAGCTCCAGAGATCGCACAACATAGTAGAGCAAGGGCTTAAAAAGCTAAGAATTAATATAACCACCTCTTGATAGGAGCACATGTTGGGGAATCCATTTAAAAACACTAAATTCCGCAAAAAAGATATTTTCAGTACCTGAATGGGAGACGCAATAATAAAACAATATAAAGCTTTACCTGTAAACAAATTGAGAGGAATATTTGTGTGGCGGGACGAATTTATTTCGGAGCAATCCAGAGGCCATCGGCTATCATAAGATGTCGACCCCCGAAATAGAAGTGTGTTTCGGAAATGGTGCTTGGACACGCAACTCTTAAAAAAAACATTAAGTCCCTGGATGGGAATCGTATTTAAGAGTATAATATAGAAATTCTACAGAAAATATTTAATGCGATAGTTACGTCGAAAAACGGATTATCAGTCGGGATGAACTCCAAAATGTTCTTCTATTTTGAGCCCTTGACCACGGAAAAGAGCCACGTTTGGGTTTTGGAATCGCTCAAATGATATTCGCAGTCTACGTATTATACTCATAATTTTTTGAAGGAGTGTGTGTGGTAGACTTACGTTGATTCAAGCACATAACTATTTTTTTTGTGGAGTTGAGTGTCCCTATTTCAGTCTGAAAGCATAACACATATGGGTTAGCAAAAAAAAAAAAAAAGCGTAGATTACTGACGTGAATTTGAGTAAAACGAAACAATTTATATTAACTACTTTTTATTAGTTTTGTAAACAAATAATTACGTTTTTAGTGATAGAAACATTTAACTTTGCAAGGTAATATGACCCACTCGACGATTACGACATCTGTAGCAATACGCAGGCCTACGTGAGCAAACTCTGAAGAATGATACTACGATATTTTTGATATTTTTCTTAAATATAATTGTAGAAAATATTCCACAAAAAAAAAAAAGAAGAAACATCCCACAAACAAGACTATATAGCACCGTACTCAAATATTTTTGCAAAAAGCTAGGGTTAGTTCTCGTCTGTCTTGAGAAAAAATAATATTTGCGGCGCCGTGGACACGCTAGTTCACAGGTGCGGCAACGAAAACACTAACCGTACTGTTCGATTATTTTAATGTTTTTCAAAGGTTACCACAACATTTGAGCTAGAAAACACAATACACAATTCGCATCGCCCGTTTTTTTTTACCCTCCCAGGCTGACATAAAAAGAGAGCAAGAATACTGGATTTACGTAGACACAAGCTGACAAGCGCAGTAAGTAGACACATAAAATCCTGAACAATTTCTCCAACTGCTTGAAACTTTGTGCTGCCCGGTTCTTTATTGGCCACTCTGGAAAACCTAGATTAAAAACCTAGATTAAAAAGGGGGTTCACCGTAAACCATGGGGAGCTAATGGCGGACGGCTCCTGTGGCGATCGGTCACAAGTGCGCTTGCGCTGCGCTACCACGTGGCGAGGAGGGAAGCAGGCAGAAAGTCTAAGACTTTTGCAGACGGTCAACGCTTCTGTCACCTTCTCGCTGCTTGATTTGCGAATGCGGCCCATAAACCACGTGACGCCGATCGATCAGTTGCAAACTCTCTGTAATACATACTCTCTAGGCGACTCCTGCGAAATAGACGGCACCTAGCGCCTAGAACATGAAGCCTTGGCGGCGGGTTCGTCGCCCAGCCTTTCGGAGCGAAGCAGATATTCGCATCGCCTAATTGTCAAAACACGAAGCCGTGCAAGTAGGTTAAAAATACACGTAATGAAAATCGTTAATATATACTTTTTACCAAAGACTGGAATTCAGAGAGGAAATATTCGACGAAAAACCGAGTAACTTTGACCTGCGCCAGGTTCATATTGCGCGGGGCGCATCGGCCACTGCCCATGTCGCCACGCGCAGAGCGAACGCTCCCGGGCTAATTTCGTTGATTCTTGATCTATAGGGAGTATTCACTGGACGCCATATTTGTGGGTGTTGTTTAGAGCGCATGCTCAGAATGAGCTCACAATAATAGCCTGCTAAGACCGGCACTCTTGATGGTGCGGAATGCCCGTGCAAAAGAACTGTGGAAGCTCGCCGTCAGCACGCGCTCAGCAACCACGCACACAGATATGGCCGCCAGTGAATACTCCCTACAGAGGCAAGCCAGAAGAAAATTACCCTCAGCAGTGGCGAAAGCATGAAATGCGATCGTGACGTTTCCAAAAGCTCATTGCTTGCGCGAGCGCTCGCACATACAAAAGCGTTCTCTCGTGCCACCCTCTTGCGCCTTTGCGCACTGAAGACAACTTGTGTGATGGAGGAACGAAAAGCTTTCTTGCCAAACGCAAACAAATACAAAAATTTTATATTTATTCCTCTAGCGAGGTCACTAGTCTAGTTTGACTTACTCAATTCTTTATAAAGGATCTGTTTTATTTGAAATTGAATTGTGCAAGCAACGAATGCGCGATAAATTTAGGCCAACAGAAATTTGTTTGCCAAATATCTAAATTTTGGGAATTCGGTCTATCTGTTTAAGGGTATGTTTTTACATTTAAATACTATTAAGAAGCATCAACTTAAAAAGGAAGTATTTAGTACTGCGAAAATACCTTGCCTCTTTATAATTGTTTTACAACACCTATCTGTATCTAAAACAAATGAAGTAGAGGTGCTGAAATTTTTGAAGTAGTCTAATAGCAATTGATGTCAAGATATTAAAAGCGACATCAGAGGATTTACGTTACAACTCTAAAATTATAGGTTTTCTAGTCAATGTGCATACGTACTACAAGAATGGAAGTATGATTTTTCACTGTCATTGCATTTTATTATTTTTTTCAGAAAGACAAATCCGGTGAAGATCTTCACGTATTAACGTAACGATAATTCAGATGTCTATCTTCATGATCATAATGGGTCTAGTGACATTTATTCACGGTAAACAAAATCTCAATTTTATGGAGTTTTCTGCCGTCCGGTTTCTCTACCGCTGGAGATAAAACGCCAGTGCCTCTAGATTGAGGCACTGGAGTAGTATATTTTAACTTATATCTGTAATAAATAGCTGCCGCGAAGAATGAAGTCTTGGTATTCGGAAAATGTGTTTAGTGTTAGAGGTGCAAAAATAAACGTCAAAGCTTCCAGGTAAGCTGACGGTATGCATAATTGAAACGCCACTGCGTTTCGTCTTGTCCGGACGAAGAAAACTTAACACTGTAGTTCTTTTTTTTTTTTACTCGAATATGCCTTTTTGCTAACGACCAGCTTATGGTCTAACAACAAATTATGACTTCAGGCATTTGAATATTTTTACCTGTCTGTCACAGACGTTATTCTCACCATCTGAACTAATGCCAGCAATCCTGAGGCATCAAAATCTGTCTGTCGTAGAGCTCCGTTGAGCTAGTCAGAATTTTATCAGTTAATTTCTTTGTTGTAAAACTAAAAATAACAATCACTGGTCGTGACTTGAGAGCTATCATATCTACCTAATTCTTATGTTTAATAAACGCTAGCCATGTTTAGTATATGGCCATTTCCAATCTGAAACGTTTCGTAATTAGACTCTTCTTATTTACGCACTGTCTAATTGTCTTCCTCGTGAATTTCAGAGATAATTCGATTATTATATTGATTATGATTTTCTAAGCCGTCACCCTTTAATACTAACATGATTATCCGACTTTTTGAACTTGCAATAATGACTTCAAATGTTCAATAGTCCCAACAGATAAAAAATACGTACCAATTATTTGCTTGATTGTATCATGTCTCTCATCCGTACTAGCATTGGCTACTCCAGCCTTTCATTCTTTAGGCACTTTTTTATGTTTTTTCTGCCTATCTTCAACACGTAATCTAAAAAAAAAAAAACGGGACTGATTGTTTCAAAACTAGAAAGTAGGCGTCCAACGAAAATGTCTTCGAAACATTATCCTCTACGTGTCGAGGCCAACTCGACGAAAGCCAACCCGTCGAAGGGCAATTCGTCAAATAGGCCAATTCGTAATAGGCCCACTCCTCGATGGACAGTTTGTTTAAGACGTCCTTTCCTCGCCACTTTTTTCAGAGAGAGAGAGAGAGAGAGAGAGCGAGAGAGAGAGCCAGAGAGAGATATAGTGAACGACGAGCAGAATACACTTTATAGAACGACTCAAGCACGAGCTGTTTTTAATTTTCATCGGAGGATGAGGATGCACTGTGGTCGTCCTTCGTGGAGTCTGTGTGCTTAGCGTCCGAGGATGAAGTTATTTTTTCAATGTGGGCGACAAGGATTGGCCACAGGAGGCTTGCGGATTATTTGGGGAATCGGCCCAGCTGGCGCAGGAAGTGGGAACTGAGCTATTGACTGAGGGTGGAACATAGGAGAGAGAGAGATTCAAGCGAAGGAGGGTGAGGCCCTGAGACAGGGCCAGTATATGTGTTCATTGGAAGGATAGCCTCCGCAGTTATAGCAGGTGGGGTGACCAGATCGGCGCTGTATGAAGTGTATATAGTGGTCCGTAGGAAGAGAAAAGGACTGTGCTTGCCGGAGAATAGAGGCCTCCCGTCTGGAGTGGGACCAGGAAGTGGAGGGGTGCTTGCAGCGTGGGACCTGAAGCTGGCGATGTGTGCAGTTCGTTCCTTGTGGTGTTGGAAGTGGTCATCGCGGGGATCGTGTCGTTCCGGCCAGGGTGTCGGGGTGTTCGGAGGTTCGCTGTCGCGTGCCAGAGCCTGTGCTGGCTCGTTTCCCTGAATGCCTTGGTGGGGGGGGGGGGGGGGGGGTACATTCTAGATGAACTTTAAGCCGCGGATGGCTACGCTTGTATTCTTGGATGAAGTGTGGATGTGCGTAGTCAGTGCTTGCGGATCGAAGCTGCGGAGAGCTGCCTGACTGTCCGTCTGCGCCAGGCGCGTATCCCCCGGCCGGGGGGGGGGGGGGGGGGGAGGGGGGAATGGGGCCCGGTCCCACCCCCCCCCCCCAAAAATCTTCCACTTTGCGGGGTCTCCTCTCCCCCTCATACAGCATTTTGTCATGGGCAGGCCCCCCCCCCCTTCCCTCCCCCTTTCCCCCCTCGCCCCACCCCCGAAACAAACTCCTGGCTACGTGCCTGGTCCGCACAGTGGTGGTTGCCGCGGAGTGTCGGTGGAGGATGGTTTCTTCTAGGATGGCTTGCCTCTCCGCCCCCGCAACCGAAGGAACACCGGAGTCTCTCCCCCCGGGGTGTTACCGTCGCCGTCACGGTTTTGTCGTCGATGACTCGATCGTCAATGTAGTAGATGTTATGCATCGCTTCATTGAGATGGTCCGCATTGTCTTGCCTGAATTGCGCGTCTCTGTGGCGCGAGCCATATGTTGCGGGATATGGGGTCAACGACGAGATGGGGAATGCTGTCCTAAGAAGGTGGAGTCAGGGAAACGGGCTGGATGGTCTGTAGATTTCCCTAGCAGACGGAGGATGGCTCTTCCATGTGCGGAGGTTGCGAGTCGGTTAAGTTGGGCTTGGTGGTGTTTTAGAGCGCAGCTCTTAGGGGCTCGTTCCCGGCTTGAGCGGCGTCGCCGTCGCCGTTGGCGTCGCCGTCGGCGTCGACGTAACCAAGGTCACCCCAAGGTCACACGACCCCCAAGGTCACCCCAAGGTCACGTGACCCCTCCCCAGAGGTCACGTGACCCCCCTGAGGTCACGTGACCCTCCCAAGTCACGTGACACCCCCGAGGTCACGTGACCCCCCCAGGTCACTTCACCCCTCCCAGTACCCTTCCCTCCTCCTCCTCAAGAGCTGCGCTCTAATTCGGCGTTACAGGGAGTTGTAAACGGCTTTCACTTTTTCTATCCGCTGATCGAGAAAGGTGAAAAAAGCCATCTCTTCTATATTAAAATCGGGGGTGTAGGAGGGACACCAAAGGCGGCGCAGTTGCACTTGCGAAAAGTCGCCTCTAGGCACCGGAGTTGAGTGGCTGTGAGGTTCTGGTAGGGGAGTGCGTACATAGAGCGCGAGTAGACCATGGCCTCGATTACCTTGAGCGGTTCATGTTCCTTGAGGCCTTGGCGTTGCCGGGTGATGCGCCGGATCATCTGGTGTACTTGCTCGATCTGTTTGATGATTTGAGGAGTCTACACCGTACTGCGGCCGTCCTGCTGAAAGATGAAGCCCAGGACCTTGATGGGGGGGGGGGGGGGGGGGGAGGGGAGGGGCGTCGAGGAATGGGGGAGCCGTTGATTTGAAGCTAGATGAGGTCTCGATAAGCCTGGGCGGTTTTCCGCGGGTCGCTTGAAGCTACAAAACATTCCATCTCGCGGGACGAGCAGGCGAGGCCAATGGTCTGGGTCTGGGCGTGAACTACGTCGAGACCCTTCTGCACAGTGTCCTCCTACTCCCCAGGGCAGCCTGTGCAGCACCAAAGGGTGATATCATCCGCATAGATGGCGTGATAGAGGTCTGGGACGGCGGATAGCTGGGCTGGAAGATTTTTCAGGGTAAGATATAAGGACTTGGGTGACAGTGAAGAGCCTTGGGAGTCCCTCGCCGCAGCGGATATGGCTGTGACGGATTGCTGTCTGGGTCGACGACGCAGAGCGTTCAGTCCTTGAGGGACTTCTTAACGTAGTCAAAGGGGCCGCATCCCGGCTGGGTCTCGTCCAGGTTCTGGAGGTGGGGGGCATATTCTACGTTCTCGAAGGCCTTGTGAATGTCCATTCCGACGATCGTACGTAGTTGAGCCGCGCTTTTGTAGTCGTAGACACCCGTGCGGATGCAGCGGGCAACGTCTTGTGTGCTAACATGCTGGCGGAAGCCAACCATTGTTTGGACGAAGTATCCATGGCGCTCTAGCCCTTTCATGGTCACTGACATACCTGTACGTAATCCAGGGAGCGTCCCGCATGGTTGCTGACGTACAGCGGGCCAATGTTTCAATATTATCACGCGAGCATCGACCGCCGGGACGGTCGGCGCTGTTGCGCTGATAAATGAGGCGTCACGGGAGAGATTAGGCGCGTGCGCACACAGCTCTTTCCGTTGCGAGCGTCGTCCGCGAGGCTATTTCGTGGACCGCACAAAACCCCTGTTCATTATCTGCTGGCATAGCTAACCGCCTTTAAGCAAATATCTGAACAACGCTCACTTGCGCGATAGTACTCAGGCGTGGCATAAACCGCGCGTCATCTCGAGTTTAATTTACTTTTTTTTCATTTCATGTTCGCGTTCACTTGGGAATATTGACCAACAAAAATGAAAAAGAGCAAAAAAAAAAAAAAAACCGGTGACGCGACAAACTGAATGCAATGATGCATTAAACTATATACCGCAGACGATGCTACGAGCCATAAAAACCAATCGAGTGCTTTCACCCTGCCACGTGACATCGTGCTTCCCCGTCCAGTTGTAGCCATTGGAAAGGCCACGTGACACGCGTTTAGGGATGGACTGGCCAAGATGGCTCGTAGCTTCGGCTGCGGTACAACACAAAGTGAAACAGATTATCAGGGTTTTCGCAGGGTGTTTCGTATTATCAACTGCGTTGTGCCGTCGTCAGCTAGCCTATGTATACACTCTTAGAAAAAAGGGTCAGTATAGTCCTCCCTAAAGGGAGGAACGCTCTTGACACATATGTTCCTTCAAAAAGGGAGAAACTTTCGTCCCTTAAGCAGGGGAGCAAAAGTTCCTCCGTCGACTGCATCTCATTATGGCGGCCACAAATCGAGCAAATCGAGCTCGATAAGGCTTAACGAGAACACTAAGTCTATTGTACGGAGCGAGAGGAGCAGCAAATAAAAACGTAACACGAGCTTTCCGCGAACTGTATTTATTTCCGAAGTAATTTTACCCCTGCAGGTAAAGAAACTTACGTTTCGAAAGCATGCAGTCACTCAGTCTTCTCATCGTCAGCACTGCGATGTTCAAGGGAGACAACCGGCACCCAGTTCGCGCACTTCATGTCTTACCTTTGCTATTCC